GAGAACGGGGTAGAGAAAACGACTTCAAGGTAACATGCTGGACACACAGTTTGGGGATAGAAATGACAACCGTGATACAGAAGCGGGTTAGTTGGGACATGGGTCAAGGGGCAGACAACATGCAGTTGTAGACAAGAACACGTGACGTGACAGTAGCCAGTACACTGACCACACGACAAGTCTTTGAACACAAATCTGAACTGTTCTTTAGACAATACACGGTGTAATAATCAACATGTTTTGCATCTGACCACTGTATAAACAATTTTCTCCACCAGACATAACCAAGCAATCTTTGACTGAAAACAGACTTCTTCTTTCTTCTTGGATCCTTCTGTCAGAAAACATAAATCAGGAGACCCTTATGAAAGCTACAGTGCACTAAACATCTCCACGTGTGCAATACATAGTTATATTTATTGTGGCTGGAAAAGGCCAGATTGCTTCGTCGGCAACATACAGTTGACAGTGTTGGATCACATGTCGGCATTTTCTGGTGCCACGCAGCAGGGACACGTCTCCTGTTTTCTACACTCAGAAGTAAAGAAATGTAACAGGCTCATGGCAGCTGTTATCATATTTGATTGGGCTATAAACTGGCAAGCTAGGAAATGGAGTCACAGCGGCTATAAAAGGAAAGGGAGCTGGAAATAGCCCTCGTCTTTCATATTCATTCGCACAGTCAGCTCTCGCTCGCTCAACCGCCCGATCAGCCACGTGTGTCTCTCTTTCGCTCGCTAACTGCCCATTCGTAGCCTGATTATTGATAGCTAGATACTGGTCAATACTCGCTTGATATTCGGCTGAGTTTGGCTCGACTACGCTATCGGTGTCGTCTGCGTTTGGGTTATTAGCAGCCCGTGAGCACATCATTGTTGAGGAGTCAGTTGTAGCATCTATTTGTGAACGATTGTCTCGTGAACTGCGGAGAAAACACGCTTGGTGTACTTTTCAGTTCACCCAACAAGCCTTGTTGACTCTGCAGGAATCGAGCTTTCGATAGCCGTCTGACAAGTACCGTTTTTTTGCCAGCCACAGCCACACTAAATCATGGCCCGTGGCAAGAAGAATCCAGTCCAGCGCCGGGACGCCAGTGCGACCTCAGCCAAAAAGGAGGAAGCACCTGTTGTCGCACCAGACCTGACGATGCCAGAACCGGTCGACGACCCGGAGGAGACACCAGCCTCACTCACCCAGACGCCGCCAGCCCTGGATATAGGCCCTATCGAGGCACCAGTCTACCCAGAAGCCGCCCCAGTCGTGGCGCAGGAAGCCACAAACACCCGCCCACTCAGGCAGCAGCATCAGCTATGGTCCGCCCTCTTTAGGGCAGACCGAGATCCCCTCCCTCACTTTGACAGAAGCAGCAAACCTCAGGCGTAATGCGATCGCCACAACAGAAACGTTGATAACTGGAAAACAAATTCCAGACACAAAAACACCGACCTCGATATGTGGCACAGTCGTGCCTATACATCCCCCAAGAAATAGATGTGCCTAAGTCGGCCAAGTGGAATGAATATGGTTCGTATCTCTCTTCAATCGTACTCAAGAACAAGGCCAGTGATGTAATCAATTACATAAGAGCTGGTTTATTCATAATATTCTCGTCACACACATTTCATAAATTCAATAAGCAATAGTATATGAACACTTCTTATTACTGGCTATTCGTATGCCTCTACGAGTTCCTTAACCACTGTTCTGGCTAAACTCCAAGTTAACGTATACCTTCTAAACCAAGTAAAGCACTAGTTTTCTCCTAACCGGTCTTCTAGCGGTCTAGCCCTAACTCCCTTCTCCAGCGGTTCCGGGGCTAACTGTCCTCTCCAGCGGTTCCGGGACTAACTCACTGTTCTAGCTAAACTCCAAGTTTAACATATACCTTCTAACGAAGTACAGCACTAGTTTTCTCCTAACCGGTTTCTCTAGCGGTCTAGCCCTAACTGTCTTCTCATGACGGTTCCGGGGCTAACCGTCCTCTCCAGCGGTTCCGGGACTAACTAACTTCTCAAGCCCCTGGCTCTGACTTTATTACACCGCTTTCCCGCTCCTCCTGGCGTACCATCTTAATCACTTCCCTGTCACCTGTCCTTGGTGGTCACGTTTGGATGAACGTATCTCGTCAGTTGGTCACAGCTCACGGGTACTCGTCGAATGTTTCATCCCTCACTGTCAGATGTCATGGCGGTGTGTTCTGCATAGCTGGCTAGGCCATGGCTTTCTAATCACCCATTCTGTCATTTCACACAGTAATGGATTAGTACGCCGTGTGGTGGTCTGAAATGTATGCTTGTTCATTTAACCCCTTTCTGCCTATATTTCATTACAGATATAACCACTGCTCAATCTAGGAGCCGGTTGAAAGAGGCACGAAGTTTTTCGTTTTTTTACCAACATCAAGATCAAGATCAATAGCACTCGTTTTAGGGCGGTTTGCCTTTTTCATGTGTGCTATTGTCTAGTTGGGCTGTTTGTCTTTGTGCTGTGTGCTATTGTCTAGTTGGGCTGTTTGTCTTTGTGCTGTGTGCTCTGTGTCGTGTTGTTTAGTTGGGCTGTTTGCCTCTGTGCTATTGTCTAGTGTGACTGTGAGGCGAAAAGTGTTTAAGACTAATGTTTCGTTGTATAATCTTTCATGGCTTTTGACGCAATATTGGTACCGGAGGACAGAACGGAGAGTGATAGAATGTTTTAGTGGTTCCTTCCTGGTGGTAAATTCAACAGTCAGAGTGTGTTAGACCCAGATCTCAGTGAATTTTGATTCATAGCAGTGTCAGTGCGTCGCACACATGCTCTATCTAGGTGCTGTCTGAGTAGTCATGTGTGTAGTTAGATGTTAGATGACAACTGCAGTTCTGTTTAGCAACAAATGGGTGGCGTCTTTTGTTCAGGTAGTATTGTTATTCCTCATTTACTTCCTCATTTATTTACTTTTGTTGATTGTCGATGTAACACGTGTCTGCAGTAGTTAATTGGACAAATAAAGTGGCGCTCCTTTGATTCATTCCTCAAAATTGCGGCATGCCACATTCTGGCCATAAAATATCCAAAAATATCCGAATGATGGTGTTCGCGTATATCTAAAATATGGACTATCTGCCAAGGAACAAATCGCGGCAAAACTAGCGTATCCCCCGCGCTAGGTGCCTGGGACTTACGAGAAAAGTAATTGGAGGAAGTTGCAGAAGATGCGGCAGCTGCCGCTCGTGAGTCCCAGCCATCTAGTTTTGTCCCCATCCGCGCCGCGCGTAGCGGCGCGTGGGATACCCTCGGCGGCGAGGCACACTCGCAGAAGCAGGTCGGCAAGGAACGTATCGCCGAGACCCTGTCAGAGCCATTTGTTTCGTTATCCGGAGCCGGCACATATATTTTTAATAGAAATGACCCGCATTCGGATATTTTTGCATATTTTATGGCCAGAAATTGGCCAATTCAGCTCCCTTTTGAACGCCATCATATTAAAGCCGCCATTTTGGGGAACGATTCAAAAAAAGGGCCAATAAAGTTTCTGTTACCGTTGACTTACCTTTTATGTTAAATAGTGTGCCTGGTCACTATTACGGCTCACATGACTTTATACAGAACACATTCGGTCAGGGCTAGGGCACTACTGGTCTCAGTTCCCGACTAAGGAAGTTTTTCTGTGTGTTTTTTTCTTTCTGTTTACTGAGGCAGCTTGAGTTTGTATAGGCCTAAACTCACCAAGACAATAATTGGTGGAGCTCTTGTAGGTTTGGAGTAGAGAAGGGTTCAAGTAGTATATTGTTATATTATCCATCAGTGTGTCTCTCCCCTTGTTTACGATACAGTCCCCCTCAGTGTTTGCTCCAAATACAGAAATGAAGAAAGAAAGAGAGTTAGAGAGTTAGAGAGATAGAGAGAGAGGAGAGAGAGCGAGAGAGAGAGAGAGAGAGAGAGAGAGAGAGAGAGAGAGAGAGAGAGAGAGAGAGAGAGAAAAGAAAAGAAAGCTTGTATGTAACTAGACATTTAAAAACAAGTCTTACATTTCCGTCGGGCAGGTCCAAGATGTAGCAGCGACTCTGTTTGTCCTTCCTCAGGTAGTCAAACCTTAAGTCCAGCTGTATGCTTCCAACACATCCACCAGCTCTTCTTCCGCTTTTGTCCATCCCCATCTGACCATCTACATCATTGTGCGACCGCCTCCTATTCAACATCTCACCCGTCTCTTTGTTGTGAAGTGTGTCCAGTCGCTTCCAGTCCAGGTAGTTGAGACTGGTCAGTTCCAGCCTCTCGGTGACCTTGCCTCGGAAGTTCTTCTCCACGAGGTATCGAGAGGTCATAGTTACCAGGATCACCTCGTGCTCCTGCAAGGGACAGCTGACCAACATGGGTTCGATCACTTCCGGGTCGTCGGCTGTAGGGCACAAGCAGCTGCTCCATTCTGTGTGTGGTGCCGGTACGGTGAAGCAGCTTCTCTGTTCTGTGTGTGGTGGTACGCAGCTTCTCTAGTTCTGTGTGTGGTGCCGGTACGTTGAAGCAGCTGCTCCATTCTGTGTGTGGTGCCGGTACGGTGAAGCAGCTGCTCTGTTTCTGTGTGTGGTGCCGGTGTGTGGTGCTACGGTGAAGCAGCCTCTCCGTTCTGTGTGTGGTGCCGGTACGGTGAAGCAGCTGCTCCATTCTGTGTGTGGTGCCGGTACGGTGAAGCAGCTTCTCTGTTCTGTGTGTGGTGCCGGTACGGTGAAGCAGCTTCTCCGTTCTGTGTGTGGTGCCGGTACGGTGAAGCAGCTGCTCCATTCTGTGTGTGGTGCCGGTACGGTGAAGCAGCTTCTCTGTTCTGTGTGTGGTGCCGGCTAGGAAAAGGACGAGTGAAACTAATCTCAGTCCGATGTCGAAGCCAGACTACTGCTGCCTGCGAGCGTTATGTTGTTATACGACGACCGTATCTCGACACAACATAGGCTTACAAACACAACAGTACAGTCAACTACACAAGCAATCAGTGATGCCGATATACTAACTAAACATAATTTGAAAGTAACTTAATTAACAAGTGTGATCTCACACATAGGAAACAACAACAACACACCTTCATTGTCACGTCTGCTCCCAGACTCTGTCGTCTGCCCGTTCTTGCTGGGTGCGATAGAGATATAGCGGGAACTCTTGTATGCTGGAGTCGTGTTTTTGTCTGCCAGAGTCGTGTTTTTGTCTACTGGTTGAGTATCTGGCAACCAGACTGTGGCCGACACCTGTCTCTGCTGGGTTTGAACTGGCACCTCCTGTTTGGTGGGAACCACATCTGGAAGTTGAGACGTGTTAGCCACGTTTGTCCTCACTTCATGTGTACTGGCATCACAGTTGTCTGTCAGTACATGGTCTGAGCTAGAGTTTGTGCTCTCAAACGTGGAACCTTTGGTGTCTGCCTTGTGCGGGTCACGTTTTGTGTCACGTGATGGAACCGCGGAACCTTCGGTGTCTGCTTTGTGCAGGTCACGTTTTGTGTCACGTGATGGAACCGCGGAACCTTTGGTGTCTGCCTTGTGCGGGTCATGTCTAGAGTTCTCAGCATGAAATGTAGGAACAGTTTCACTGTTTGAGTCAGGCTTTGTGCCGACATCTTGAAACATGGAACTACTGGGATCTCTATTGTCTGGGTCACTCTTTCTGTTCGAAGTCTGGAAACTCGAGTGTTCTGTGTCTCCTTTGTCATGAGCTGACAAGCGTCTATAACCAGCCACTTTTGTTCTGTCACCGTCTGTACCAATAGCTGTCCCAGGTACTGACGTAATCACGTCTGGATCCCCCAACCCCGTGAAGGTACATGTGGCTGCTCTATCGACTCCACTCTCAGGCAGACCAGCAGCTATTCTAGCTATCGTGGCCATCAATGGTTTATTTGGATCCGTGAATTCAGCATCCATGGAATGTGATTTCTCGCCTCTCACAGGTCCTCCCTTGACCACTTCCTGGTGGCCACTGGCGCCAACCTCCAGTCCAGTCTCCGGACTGACCACTGACCTCGACCTGACATGCGACTCCTGGCCAGCTGTTGAACTGTTGTTGGTGGCAGCTTTAGGCGTGGCTGTAGGGGCTGCACAGATAGCCGGCTCTAGTTTCTTGTTGAAAATACCCCTGTCCTCTATTGCCTGGGGAGGTTAAAAAAAAACAGCATCAAAGCCAAGCGTGAAAAGCTGACAAGCTGTAATATTTTAGACTATCTGTAACATTGTTAGACTACCTGTAACATTGTTAGACTACCTGTAATATGTTACACAGCCTGTAATATGTTAGACTATCTGTAACATTGTGTGTTAGACTATCTGTAACATTGTTAGACTATCTGTAACACTGTTAGACAACTTGTAACTATGTCAGACTACCTGTAGCATTGTTCGACTACCTGTTCCTTTGTTAGACAACCTGTAACATTGGTAGACAACCTGTAACATTGTTAGACTAACTGTAACATTGTTAGACTAACTGTAACTATTTTAGACTACCTGTAACTTCGTTAGACTACCTGTTCTTTTGTTAGACTACCTGTAAATTTGTTAGACTACCTGTTCCTTTGTTAGTCTACCTGTAACTTTGTTAGACAACTGTAACATTGTTAGACGGTCCTCCTTGACCACTTCCTGGTGGCCACTGGCGCCAACCTCCAGTCCAGTCTCCGGACTGACCACTGACCTCGACCTGACATGCGACTCCTGGCCAGCTGTTGAACTGTTGTTGGTGGCAGCTTTAGGCGTGGCTGTAGGGGCTGCACAGATAGCCGGCTCTAGTTTCTTGTTGAAAATACCCCTGTCCTCTATTGCCTGGGGAGGTTAAAAAAAAACAGCATCAAAGCCAAGCGTGAAAAGCTGACAAGCTGTAATATTTTAGACTATCTGTAACATTGTTAGACTACCTGTAACATTGTTAGACTACCTGTAATATGTTACACAGCCTGTAATATGTTAGACTATCTGTAACATTGTTAGACTATCTGTAACATTGTTAGACTATCTGTAACACTGTTAGACAACTTGTAACTATGTCAGACTACCTGTAGCATTGTTCGACTACCTGTTCCTTTGTTAGACAACCTGTAACATTGGTAGACAACCTGTAACATTGTTAGACTAACTGTAACATTGTTAGACTAACTGTAACTATTTTAGACTACCTGTAACTTCGTTAGACTACCTGTTCTTTTGTTAGACTACCTGTAAATTTGTTAGACTACCTGTTCCTTTGTTAGTCTACCTGTAACTTTGTTAGACAACTGTAACATTGTTAGACTACCTGTAACTATGTTAGACTATCTGTAACATCGTAAGACTACATTTAACTTTGTTATACTACCTGTAACTATGATAGACTACTTTTAACTATGTTAGACTATCTGTAACATTGTTAGACTACCTGTACTTATGTTAGACAACCTGTAAACTTGATAGACTAGTTGTAAAAAATTTGGACTACCTGTTCCTTTGTTAGACTACATGTAACTTTGTTAGACAACATTTAACTGTTTCAGACTACCTGTTGCTTTGTTAGACTACCTGTTCTTTTGGTAGACTACATGTACCTTTGTTAGATTACTAGAAACATTGTTAGACTATCCGTAACATTGTTAGACTACCTGTAACTTTGTTAGACTACCTGTAGCTTTTTTAGACTACCTGTAACATTGTTAGACTACCTGAAACTTTATTAGACTACCCGTAAAATTGTTAGACTACCTGTAACCAGTTGTGTCCGTAATGTTTCCTCAGTTCTTCTATCTCTCGGCGCGTCGTCATCGCCTCCTGACGCCGGTCTGTCATCAGTTTCTCCAGGTGCTTGGGCAACGGAGCAGAGCCTAGGGATCATCACACGGGGGTGGTTAGTGACCTTGTCTCATCACCTGACACACATGCTGGTACAGGGCGGTGGTTAGTGGCCTTGTCTCATCACCTGACACACATGCTGGTACAGGGCGGTGGTTAGTGGCCTTGTCTCATCACCTGACACACATGCTGGTACAGGGCGGTGGTTAGTGGCCTTGTCTCATCACCTGACACACATGCTGGTACAGGGCGGTGGTTAGTGACCTTGTCTCATCACCTGACACACATGCTGGTACAGGGCGGTGGTTAGTGGCCTTGTCTCAACACCTGACACACATGCTGGTACAGGGCGGTGGTTAGTGGCCTTGTCTCAACACCTGACACACATGCTGGTACAAGCCGGTGGTTAGTGGCCTTGTCTCAACACCTGACACACGTGCTGGTACAGGGCAATGCAATCCAACAAGAACACGCACCATTACACACATATAGGCAAACACATATAGACAAACAGACACACATTATTGAACAGGCTTCATCATCATCATCATGTAGCAGGTCCTCTGCAGAACGTCACTGTCATAACTGTCTCTCTTAACCGAAACTCAGTCTTTCGCCAACTCTCCCGCCTTCGTGTACTTTCATATTTGAGGAGTCACTTCGTTTTGGTCCACCCTACCCCTCCTTCCTGGTACCATGCCTTCTGCTATTATTCTTTTTTTTTTTTAATTTGCCATGGTACTCGAGGTTAACGCCCTGTCCCAAGACCAGTCCGCCCCCTCACATGCATATGAAGCTAAAGGGAAGATGCAGGCTCTCTAGATTGTAACTTTGATTTCTTTGCTTGTGTTTAACCATAGACTTGTAACGTTGTTAACACTTTGTATTTATGTGGCCGAATGTGTATTTACTGATTGCAGAATCGTCAACAATCTCAGATTCTCTCGGTCCACAGAAGCGATCGCAACTTCTAGTATTTTATCACATGTCTCCTTGAGTAGTCTCACTTTCTTCCTGTTTAATTATGTCTCCTTGAGTAGTCTCACTTTCTTCCTATTTAATCATGTCTCCTTGAGTAGTCTCACTTTCTTACTGTTTAATCATGTCTCCTTGAGTAGTCTCACTTTCTTCCTGTTTAATCATGTCTCCTTGAGTAGTCTCACTTTCTTACTGTTTAATTATGTCTCCTTGAGTAGTCATACTTTCTTCCTATTTAAACATGTCTCCTTGAGTAGTATCACTTTCTTCCTGTTTAATTGTGTCTCCTTGAGTAGTCTCACTTTCTTACTGTTTAATTATGTCTCCTTGAGCAGTCATACTTTCTTCCTATTTAAACATGTCTCCTTGAGTACTCTCACTTTCTTACTGTTTAATCATGTCTCCTTGAGTAGTCTCACTTTCTTACTGTTTAATCATGTCTCCTTGAATAGTCTCACTTTCTTACTGTTTAATCATGTCTCCTTGAATACTCTCACATTCTTACTGTTTAATCGTTTCTCCTTGAGTAGTATTACTTTCTTCCTGTTTAATCGTGTCTCCTTGAGTAGTCTCACTTTCTTACTGTTTAATCATGTCTCCTTGAATACTCTCACATTCTTACTGTTTAATCGTGTCTCCTTGAATAGTCTCACTTTCTTACTGTTTAATCGTGTCTCCTTGAATACTCTCACATTCTTACTGTTTAATCATGTCTCCTTGAATACTCTCACATTCTTACTGTTTAATCGTGTCTCCTTGAATAGTCTCACATTCTTACTGTTTAATCATGTCTCCTTGAATACTCTCACATTCTTACTGTTTAATCGTGTCTCCTTGAATAGTCTCACTTTCTTACTGTTTAATCGTGTCTCCTTGAATACTCTCACATTCTTACTGTTTAATCATGTCTCCTTGAATACTCTCACATTCTTACTGTTTAATCGTGTCTCCTTGAATAGTCTCTCTTTCTTACTGTTTAATCATGTCTCCTTGAATACTCTCACATTCTTACTGTTTAATCATGTCTCCTTGAATACTCTCACATTCTTACTGTTTAATCGTGTCTCCTTGAGTAGTCTCACTTTCTTACTATTTAATCATGTCTCCTTGAGTAGTCTCACTTTCTTACTGTTTAATCATGTCTCCTTGAGTAGTCTCACCTTCGACAGATTTTGTTCCTCACGAGCGAGCCTCCGTTGCTCTTTGACGTCATGTTTTAATGAGGTTTTCATTTCTATTATTTATGACAGCGCTGCTGAAGCTTTCCAAGACCCCTCCCCCTCTCCCCACTCTAACCCCCCCCCCCTTTCCCAATCCCTCTCCCCACCCTAACCACCCCACCTGGCTCGTGTCTGATAATTCTCCTTAACGTCACTAAATATCTATTATTTATTACCTGTTTGAACTTCAGTCCGTGCCGACTAATTCTATATATTCTCCACAGTTTATCACAAACAATAATTAAAAGGTCCACAGGAGACATTCAATTTCTGGGTTACTGTAGGATGTGAGAGAACACTCAATGTTTTGTCCACGCTTTGTGTAGGTTCTCAATAGAGAAAAACATCAGACGGAAGTGACTCAAGACAGAGACAGACAGCTAATCCCAGGTTTTGTTAATTTCCAGATAAAGAGAGTGCATACACGGATTTGTTTTACACATCACCTGGTCCAACGATGTGGTGGTGACAGTCGTCGGTATCGTCTATGTCTACAATCCTGGAGTCTCTGGGTTTCCCCTTCTTGTACCTGGACTTTCTTCGGTTGTTGATGGCTTCGGTGTCTGCACTTATCGGAGCATCTCTGCTGGAGAAATCAACAGTATAACGATGAAGTCACATTTGTGCTGACAGAGACATGCGCACTGACGTAAACTGGGAAGCTAGAACCGCTAAATCACAGCTGCAGTCCAGGGTTGTGAACGTCCGTGCAGAGGAAAGCTTTTACACTCAGGGAAGGGAGATTGAGAACATCAATGCAAAAAATATACAACATGATGTGACTCACGAAGAGAAACTGTGGTCACCAGGGTTAAAGGAGACACTTCTTAAGCGTCAAATGTCGCAAATTCATTATGTGGTGTATTTATTTGCAGTGTAAAGATATTTTATTTGCGAGCCATCTGTCGAGTTTCCCCTGTCATTGAGGTTTTTGTACAGATTATGGTATTCCAAGGACTCCCTGGCATTGATTGAGCCCAGGGAAAAAAAAACACACGAATGATATTCTGTGCACCTGTTACCTACTTGTATTAGTCTCTCTAAGCCTTTGCGACATTTAGAGGGCCTTCTAACCTAAACGTCCATATTTTACTCTTATTATTGGTGATTAGTTTTCTTGTCACGCTGACCAGTTCTATACTTGGTTTCCGTCGATGGGTTCATCTCAGTGACTAAAGACACTTGGACAAAACCTGGGTGTCAGCAGTTACCCCTGATATACGACAGGTAAAGATAAACGCTTTAGAATATACGAAAGCACAGTCCGTGCG